AAAAAAAAAAAAAATACATAATATACTGTCTGTTCTTACTTGGCTCTCTCTCTTCTTGATAGATTCGCATACCTGGAATGAATCCTGTTATAAACACCTTTAGCGCTACGTCAACCTTATCTGAAGTTTATAGCTTTTTACAATCGCAAGGCTGCACCAATCCATTTACTCTTTCAACTACATTCCCCAGAAAAACCTTTGGAGAAGAGGATAAAGAAAGGACATTGAAGGAACTTAGTAAGTTACATAATGTATTATACTAAGCGATGATTATATTAACATACATTTATTCAAGATTTAGTTCCTTCTGCTGCTCTGATCTTAGCATTCATTTAAGCCCTTCTTTTCTTGCATAATAAATAGCTGCTTATGATGATATAATACATAAGCTATTACTTTTGGCTAAAGAAAGAGTAACCCTCATTGAATAGATCTCACAAGCTCATCTTTTGTCTTTTCAGTATGTATGAATGTGTATGTGGCATTTATGGGCCTCCTCCTCGTAAGTTCAAACTGGACCTGATAAACAAAAGAGAGTGTCCGGCATGAATGCCAAGTGATTCATTGGCTCAGATTGAATAAAAGCTGCGTGACTGCCTCGATGAATTACGTATACCTTAGGCTGGACGGACTAACGTGTCTATGGGCAACAATTAAAGTCTCTCTTTTTTTTTATTAATATAAAATGACAATCAATACTGGATTAAAGAAGGGCGGTTTTAACTTTGATAATTGTGGAAGGTTAGCTCAAAGATTGAAACACGCGTGCTATGAATATACACACGCATGTCCATTATTCATGTTCTAATACACGTTTAAAAAAGAAATGCAGCATTGGAAGCTAAGGGTGCTAAACCACCAAAGGCAACAAGCACAGGTACTACTATTGTTGGTCTCATTTATAAAGTAAATGCATCATTGCTTTTTTTTTTTTCGAGACAAATGCTAATAACCCTTTTTAGGATGGTGTTTGCTTAGGTGCTGATACAAGAGCAACTGAGGGACCTATTGTCGCTGATAAAAACTGTGAAAAGATCCACTACATTGCTCCCAACATGTAAAAACATGAAAAGAATCAGGTCCTATGATAAAGATATTAACTTTTTTTTCATAGTTACTGTTGTGGTGCTGGTACAGCTGCCGATACTGAATTCACAACCAACTTGATCAGCTCTCAAATGGAATTGCATTCTTTAGCAACTGGAAGAAAGGCTAGAGTTGTTACAGCCATGACATTATTAAAGCAAATGCTATACAAGTAAAGCTTGTGCATGTATCACATGAATCATGACTAACTCTTATATAAAAAGATATCAAGGCCATATTGGTGCAGCTCTTGTTCTCGGAGGCTTTGATGTTACAGGTCCTCAACTTTATACAGTATATCCTCATGGCAGTACTGACAGCTTACCATATGTCACCATGGGCTCAGGCTCATTGGCTGCCATGAGTGTATTTGAAAGTAAATGGAAGCCTGATATGACTGTAAGTGGTGATGATATCATACATAGAGTAAACTGAAAATGTTTGAATTGTAGCGAGAGGAAGCCATTGATCTTGTCAGAGAGGCTATTGAAGCTGGTATTTTTAATGATTTAGGATCCGGTTCCAATGTGGATGTCTGTGTGATCACAAAGGATTCAACTGAATACCTTCGAAACCATGTTAGACCCAATGAAAGAGGAGTCAAGGAACAAAGCTATAGATATCCTAGAGGAACAACGGCTATTTTAAAGGAATCTATTACTAAATTTGTAACTGTGTCAGAAGGCGATTCTATGGACTTGACTATGTAATAAAGCATAAAGATATCATGACTAAAATTAGCAGACGCTTTTTTTGTTTATTTTCTCCGAGTTTATATATATTTTCTATATTTTTTTTTTTTTCTCTTTTTCTTTTCTACCTTTTTTATACATATAAAATCTCTCTTTTTCTCTCTCTTTCTCTCTCTCTCTTTTCTTTTTTCTTTTTTTCTTTTTCTCTTATAAATAAATTCTTTAAATGTCTTCTAAACATAAAAGTAAAGGCAGCAACAGCTCAAATGACCCATTACCATCCTTATGCTTAACAATATCCAGTGTGAATTCATCTACAAAATCACTTTCAATAAAGCACAGTAATCAATCGGAACCGATATTTGTTACACATAGACCCACTTACGTTCCTATGGCAACAGACAATACTCAAAAACAGCCTAGACGATGGGATGAATCTCAGTTGGCATTAGAATTGGCAGAGGATGATTTGACTAAAAGCAAGATACCAAAAGATAATCATAGACGATTTAAAAGTAAAATTTTTACTTCATTCAGAAAATTACAGCGCAGACTTTTGAGTTAAAGAAAGAAAAAGTCCATTTTTATTCTTTTGTGTACAGTGTTCATTTTAAATTGTTGCAATTAAAAAAATTGTTCATTTTTGGCTTGCATTCTAAACCATTGATTTTATATGTGTAATGAATTTATTTAATAGTACATAATTTATCATAAACAACATTAGGACTGGAAGATGCTTTGTTCCAGTCCTTATTGGCAATAAGCGTCCAAAGTTGGGTATTAGGTACAACTTGAATCATTTCTTCTTTCGCGTTGAAGTATTGATATGAGCTTGTTCTAAAGGCATTCTCATCAAAGGCATCAAGGCCTTCAAGTACAGGGTTTCCATCCTTTGAGTTTATAAACATAGAGTGCTTGGCCCATGCTGGGAATATCTTGGGATGATCCATGTTTTGTCCACCAGCCGCAATGTTGGATTCATTGGACGTGGTCATCTCATTCCAGTCATAATACTTGTAGCCACCATGACCAGAAAGATAAGCACCCTTTCTTGACCAGCTATTACCGTTCTTTGCATAAACAACAATGACCTGCTCCCAATCGTAACCATGGCCATATATGCCACTGGGACTGAACCCATCCTTTTTCCAGAACAGGCTGTATGCAACCCTTATCTCTGTATCCGTGCACTTTTTAGCGTTCCAATACACTGGGAAACGTGAGCCTGCAGGAGGGCATCCACCTTGGCCAGCAACGGGAAAGTTCTTGAGATCTGCACTAGGAACAACGGCACCGTTCTCGACACATGCAGAGGGCCAACACATGTCGTGCTTGAGAGCTCTTGAAAGCTGCCAGTAGGGACGAGCGCCTAATGCAAAGCTCGTGAAATCAGTCGATTGACTATCGGGAATTGGAGTATTGGCAAAGCAAAAGTTGGCAAAGAGGAAAAGAGCTACTATACTTCGAATCATATTTAGTACACAAGTTACTTTAGATACTTTTTGATGAGAGATATTTATATTGCTGCTTGTTGGCTCGTAATACCTTTTAATTCATTAATTGTCGTGCGACGAGATCGTTGTATACCTGAATCGTGTAACTATAGAAACTACAGAGCATTTGATTTTGAAACAATGTTTCATAGAAAGGCGTCAAATATCTCGTGTAATTTGACACTAGTACTGTTGTAGATATGTAGCAAATGGTTCTGTACTTGATTGCACCTACGGACTCTGTCCTCTGAGTATGTGACAGATATCTTGTTACACCAGGCAAGGCTCAATGTTTGAGCCTCTCTCGGTTTTTGCTGTTGCACGTTCTTGTCATGCTATATCTCGACTCTGCTTTTGACCAATAGCTAGTTGCATTTCGATCATAGTCCCATAAAAAAACTTCCTTATTTCCGTGCGTGTGTGTGCATATCTGATGATCTACCTCTACTTAGCGTGCAAGTGTATATGAAGCACATAGAATATGCTACATGCGCACTATTTGCTTTTTGAGTTCATTTGAAGCATATGTCAATACCTGATTATACCCACAATTAAGATATTCTTGCCTTTAACCACTTGAATTTGCTTCTAAATTGTCGTGTAGAGATTTCATTATATTTCCGTTAACCATTAGATATATTCATAAATAGACTTTTTATCACAGAGACACGCAGGTCCATATGACTTACGAACTATGTATTGCCCTCTTCTTCCAGTTAAATTTATTTTTTGAATTTTGTTGTCCGCTAATTTACACTTTTCTTTTTTGTATAAACCATGTCCACTCGCTATGCAAGAACTGCTGACAGAGCAACGAACGAAAAGAATGCGAAAATATTAAAAGCTCTACTTCAACAAACACCCAATAAATACTGTGCTGACTGCAAAAAGAAAGGTACCTTCATATTATAGAATATGTCCAAGATTAACTTTATAAAACAGATGCTCGATGGGCTTCTTGGAATCTTGGTATTTTCATCTGTATTCGCTGTTCAGGTATTCACCGCTCATTGGGTGTTCATATCAGTAAAGGTATGGTTCATTAATATAAAAAGACAGCACGGGTGATAATCAAATTTCTTTTTTTAAGTAAAATCTGTGGATTTGGATACTTGGGTACCAGAACAAGTCGAAAATATGATTCGATGGGGGAACGAACGAGCAAACAAGTAAGCAAATAAAAGAAAGCGAAATAACAATATGAACAATAATATGTATAGGTATTGGGAGGCCAATTTAGGTGATAGGAAACCAACAGAAAGCAATATGGAAATGTGGATCCGTGCAAAATATGAGCAAAAGAGATGGGCAATGAAGGGTCCTATTCCTGACCCCAGCACATTAGGTGATAGTAAGAGTGCACAAAATCAGGAAGAGGTAATATATAAAACTACCAATCTCTTTGTTTTGCTTAACATCTCAATGTGTGTATCAGCCTTCACAGCCTCCCGTGAAGCAGACAGTCGCAGAAAAACCAAAGACGAAACAATCTGAATTTGCAAACTTGGATGCATTCTTGGGTTCACCTTCTTCGTCTCCCGCCTCTACCCATCAAACTACAACTACATCCGCTTCTCAACTACAAGGTGCAGATTTTTTCTTTGGAACAAGTACATCACCACCACAGCAACAACAACAACAGCAACAACAACAGCAGCCACAGCAACAACAACAGCACAATGATATAAAATCTTCAATTCTGTCTTTATATAATACCATGCCTGCCGCTCAACCCCCTATGATGCAACAGCAACAACAGTTTATGGCTGGTAATGTCCAAAATCAACTATCTGGTTTAAACTTTGGTTATCATCAACAGCCAATGAATAATAACGTATGGGGATCGTTTGCCACTGCACCCCCAATGCAACCTCAACAGCAACAACAACACGGTCTTCCTCAAGGAAGTCAGTTCTTCACATCCAGTAGTAAAAATAATAGTCATAGTGCAAGCACTAATAACGTGCCAAAAGAGCCCAAAAAAGAGTAAGATATATTTGTCAAGTGAAAAATGTAGTAACTCACTTTTTCATAGTGTTTTTGCAGACCTTTTAGGTTAGAGAAAAAAAAAAAGAAGAGAATACATATAAAGAAATTCTAGATTATTATTCTCAATAAACTTTATTTACTTTCTATATAACAAACACACAATTAATCTACAATTATTCTATAATTCACGCTGAGCGCGTTCGTATTGGTTGATCCAAGTAGTCTTCACACCAAGCTCACGAGCAGCTCGATTTACCCAAGCTGTGTCACGAAGGTGCTCACGACCGATCAAGATATAATCAGCCTTGTCTTGCTGTAAAATAGCCTCGGCATCCTTAGGATCAGTGATCCTGCCGACTGCACCAACAGCGATACCAGTGGCACGCTTGATAGCTTCAGCAAAGGGGACTTGATAAAGAGGGTTACGGGGGTACTCAGCATCAGGACGATTTCCACCAGCGGAGACATCAATAACATCAACACCGATATCCTTCAATGCCTTGACGTACTCAATGGATTGATAAAGGTCCCAACCATCTTCATCATGGGCCTCAGGGTCTAATGACTTAAAGTCGGTAGCAGAGATACGAACCCACAGGGGCTTATGTTCTGGCCAGACCTTACGAATGGCTTCGACGACTTCAAGAGGGTAGCGCATACGGTTTTCCAAAGAGCCACCATAGATATCAGTACGCTTGTTTGAATAACCAGACAAGAAATTGTGCAACAAGTAGCCATGAGCGTCGTGAATTTCAAGTACTTCAATACCAGCCTTGTCAGCACGGATAGCGGCATTGACCCATTTTTGTTTGATTTCTTGCATCTCGGGAATAGTCAAAGCATGAGGCTTACCGTGGTGCTCATCAAAGGGGACATCAGAGGGACCGACGATATCGTTTGGCCATCCGCCTTCTGATTCAGGCACCAGCTTGTAACCAAGCCATGGAGAAGACATGTCGGCCTTGCGACCTGCGTGTGCGATTTGGATAGAAGGAACAGATCCTTGAGACTTGATAACATCAACAATGCGCTTAAGAGGAGCAATATGGTCGTCGGACCATAAACCAGCGTCATGAGGAGAGATACGACCACGAGGTTCAACAGCAGTGGCTTCAATGATGATCATACCTGAGCCTCTGATAGCATAAGAACCATAATGAGCCACATGGAAATCGTTAAAGAAGCCATCTTTGGCACTGTACATACACATGGGAGGAACGACGATACGGTTATGGTACGTGATGGATCTGTCTTTGATGGAACTAAACAGCTTGGGTCTTTGTTCATCCTTGGCTTTACCATTGTGAGGATTAATAGCGTAAGGTTCGATGACAACAGAAGGCATATTTTTTTATAAGGTAAAATAAGTTAAATAATCCAAAGAAAAAGAACGCCTTCTTCCTTTTTATACTTTGTTTGCTGTGACAATTTTTTTGAAGAAATTAATAATCAAGGGCAGCTTTGCTCTTGTCAGTTTTTGTGACAGTTCTTTAAAGAAGTATTAGTAATAACAATCTGATCCCAAATCATAATGGCTTGTCACTTCTTTATACCTCCCTCCTCCCTCCCCCCATTGTTCTTTATTACTGTCTTTCTCTTTATTTTTTTTGTCAGATCGTCACATAAGCAGTGCCACTAAAAGGGAGGGAAGATCGATCTTGATCGTTTTTCCAGAAATTTGGATAGACTGCTCACAGAATCTGGGAATCAGATAGGTAAAACTTAATCGAATGTAAAATGTGATTGGTCAAATATATACCTTTTTTATTCCTTCTTACGCAATACGTCATTTATACATGATGAGCCTTGAAACTTTAGTGGGAAGCAGTCCTTGATTACTCAAATGGAGTTTTGGCTCTGGATTCATTACACTGATCATAATTTTTAATGTTATTTAGTGGGTAGGCTTCAAGTCTCTTGAAAGACAAGACGAACAAAAATGACAACTTATTGAACACACAGGTAAATTCCCATCCATAAACACTACAAAGCCAACAATGAGCGTTCGCAAAAAAAGCTCCACATCAAAACAACTTGCAACCGATTAATACGACTGACTCAAGCTTCTCAGTCCTACAGTAAAAGTCCTTCGACACCAGAACGTCTTGATCAGAACTAGTTCTACTGTTGTGCAGCATCTTCCACTTGCCAATTTTGCCTCTTTTTGTCTCCAAACACCCTCTTCCTACCTAATCTTTGACAATCTGCATACAGAGACCAGGAAGTAAAAGGCCAAGGAAGCCATCAAATTTATTCGTGGACCTTTGTTTGACTTGCAGTGGACACATTCCAGATATTTCATTCACTCGCTAAAAGTGTCAGTTCGTTTTTAATAAAGTCAAACGGATGAGGGCACATAGCAGAACTCGAAGAATAATGCGTTGAAAAAAATTCCTTTTATTTCTTTTTGAGTCAAACTCGTACATTTGAGAATGCACTGAATGAATATGAAAGTAGTCATTTTATCAAGATTAAAGAATAAAAAGTCAAGTGTGGGAGTAACAAAATGAAGTTTTTATTAAAGCAATAGTTTGATTTCCAAGTCATTTTAGAAGCAAAGAGAGAGGCTTGAATAAGCAAAGATTTTTCTTTTGATAGCCAAGCTAAGAGAGCAAATAGAGATTTTTTTTCTTTTTTTCTTTCCGTAAGTCCAGAAGGCCACATTATCGCTAGCTTTCAAACCCAAGATGACTAGAACCATAGACTGCATGCCAGAAGACTACACGGTGTAAACCCTCCATGAATAAAAAGTACTCAAGTCTCAAGACACAAGGCCCAAGGCTCAAGACTCAAAAAACAACCACGGGAAACTCAGGAAAGGGGAGCTTCAACGTACGAAGAGTGCACCTAAGTACCTAGGACGAAGCTTTTTGAAAACACTACGGACAGTGCGCGCAGCAGAAACAGTGAAACCTTGAAACGGTGGGACATTGGGACATTGGGATATTGGAATATTGGAACATTGAAAGCATCGAGCTCAGTAGTAGGGAGAGTTTACGGGCCATTCATCAGCTGTAGAGGCAGAGCCATAGCAATAGGAGCGTCTCGGGGTGATCCAGCATAGAGAAGTAGCGACCTATCTGGTTAGTTTTTGTCTTGTTTTGTTTTTTTATACGTTTTCTTTTCTTGTAGTAGAGCTTGATAGAGCTTGGCAGATAGTGGCAAAGTAAATTGATTATGTTTCTTGTGGCTTCAGGACTTGAATATGTGGTTACTGCAAAGCAGTATTCATTAGCAGCAGACATTGATAGACATGAGCAAAATCTTTTAGGGACTTTCCGACGTTGATAAGCATGAGACAGGCATTCACTAGCATTTTCAGGCACTGATGATTATTTGTAGGCATTGGTAAGCATGAGCAGATGTTCACTGGTCTTTCCAGAGGTTTGATAAGCATTTGATAAGCATTTGTAGGCATTTGAGTATTTTTTTTGAGTGTGTGAGTGTGTGAGTGTATTGATAAGCAGTAGCAAGCATTAGTAAACACTTTGAGCATTAGCGAGTAGCAGAGATTTCTTTAAGACTACACCCCGTGAGAGACCATTTTGATAGAGTAAGATGCATCAGGAACTATGAAGTAGAGCCAGCAAAAGTGAATTTTCTAAAGGATGACATTAGTTATATGTACTTTGAGACCACCCAAACACTGTTATACCTTTTCAACGTAGTCATAATAAAGCCATAAGAGAATTTTTAAAAGAGATAAAGAATGAAGAAAAAAGAAAAAAAGGAAAAGAATGATGGTTTTTCTTTTATAGTTTTTTGTTTACGTGAGTCATTTTATTTAGGCTAAAAATGAATGATTCATTCCTCTTTCGTTAATGCATGAATAAAAAACTCGTTTTCAATCTTTTTTCATATTAGAACACTTCCGAACGCTCTTTTCTTAAGTTTAGAACGTGGAATATTCTCTTGTATCTTTTTTATATTTGTTTACTTTGCATAATTTTTACGCCTCCTTTTTTTTTTTTTTGATGCCGCTTGTTTACATAAAGCTGACCACGCACACACACAATTTTTATTATGATTGCCTCACTTTTCTTATTTCCAATATGCGTACTTTTCTGTTTGGTTTCTTTGGAAAACGAGTAAAAAAGTAAAGTGAGAATCAAGTGTACAAGGACAAAGGTTGAAAGGGGAAACGACATCTTTAAAAAAAAAAAAAAAAAGCAGCTGATGATAAACAAAGGTCTTTTATCAAAAGACACTAGGCTGCTGTTTTTGTGAAACGCACGCAGTAGTTGTTAATTGCCAATCAAAATGATCTAGACATCGTCCTTTGTTTATTTACCATTATACCTTTTTAGTATATGCTGGTAAATGGCGCTTTTAAGAAATAGAGAAAGACGCTATTCTGTAATATCAATATATAGATCAGCATTCATTATTTAAAGAAATAAGGAGATCTTATAAAAGGACTAAAACATTATCATGATTATCTCTGGTAGAGGGCAAAGAAGAGCCAGATCAAATCATGTGTCAAAACCTGTTTATCATGCATGAATAGTAGGTGATTGGATTGTTAGCTTAGGAAGACATAAGAGTTTGTAATGATCTTCTTTTTATTTTTAGTATACATGAAAAAAGGAAAAACTTTTATCCTCTATTTCTTGCTGTTATATACTTATCCTTTTCCCTTCTGCTTGTGAAATGTAGACTAACCTTAGCGAAGGTTGTGATTGTGATAGATCTAATGACTGTCCGCTCATTTTTGTAGTAAAGCAATGGACCTTTTAAGTCTGCATAAACCATTTCAAATGGCGCTCGAAACAGGACGGGTTGTTAAGGTACACAACGCACTTCATGTAAACCCTTCATGGCATGGATACTTGCGTATCATGAATGAGAAGTATGATCAATTATGCGATTTATTGGTGATCAAAAAAGGGGTTTTATGACAATGAAAAAGAATATGAATGTATGGATGTCAAAGGTAAAGGCTTTTATGGAAAGAAAACAGTAGAAGAATAACAAGAAAAAAGAGACTCGATAAACCTTAGAGCACAATTTAATGTCTATAATTATTCAAATTTGTAAATCGTGATGACACATCGTTTGTATTCATTATTGCAAAATGAAACTAAATCGGTTTATTTACTTATTTTGGAAGCAGATCCAGTTAATGAAAAGCTCAAGAAAATAAAACAGAGACATGAAGCAATTAAAAAAGCTGCCCATTAAAAATATGGTAGTGCAGTTTATCAAAAGAATGATATCTAGTATTGCCAAACATGTATATAAGTAAGCATTTAGAGCGGTTGGTCCCTATAGCTCTTCTTATTCAGTCCGTTTGCATCCCACCTTTTGGCTCTGTATACAAAAAAGGGTGTATTCTATACCTGATCAATTATACAAGTAAATTGACTTACAGTTGGCTTTATATTAGAAGCACCAAGCTTCATCCTTTATAAAACTCTTAACCATTCCATGTCTGCCTGTGTAGTCAGAAATTTTGTCTTTCGTAAAGTGAAAAGATGATTGTTTGCTTTGTCGATCCTGTAATAATATTGTCATTCCACTTGTAAGTATAGCACAAGCCTTGGCTTGTATTTGGTGTAATGAAATACACCAGAAATAAAATCAGCTTACAATGGTTACCAACCTGTCCCTCTTGTAATCTCAAATTCTCTTTTTGCTCTTTAGGGAGCTTCAGACCTTTATTACATTGTATCGTCTTGTTCCCTGCGAAATTGTTTCTAAAAATAAATTGATAAAAAAAAAGTTCTTGCTGACCAATGTTGCAATACTTTGGTTATAGTCCATTTCGTGATACGATTATAAAGGGTTGCGATATACTAGTACATAACTTATTTATGTGGATTCTTCATTTACATCAGCCCTCGATCCTTCCACTTATTTGATATTTTGTCACACCAAAAACAGGAGACAATCCTAATATGATAAATTAAATATTATGCACTTAAGATCTTAAGGGAGATACATATTCTTAAGTGGTATTAGAAGACATGTCGCTTTGTCGATTTTATGGCAGATACTCAGCCAACGTGCATAAACTAACGGCTGCATGGAGTAAAATGTTCAAAAGTAGACAAAACATTAAAAAAAATATAAAATAGCATTACTGATTGTTTGTTATAAAAGTCAATACTAACAAACCCAAGCGTTTTCCAATGCTCTTCCTATCTTAAAAAAAAAAGTCAGTACAGGATTCAAACAAGTGAACAAAGTGTCAGTTGATACACTGAAGATAGGCCTTCCGCTTTTGACGACCAGCGTCATTAGGTTTTAGTGCAGTACCACTCAGAAGCATAAAGCCTGTGAGAGTAAACTACAGAGTACTCAACGCACTGGCAAAGAATTTCCCTTATAGCAAGTATAAGGTAGTTAGTACAGTAACAGTCCGCTTTCGTCTGCATATATGCTCGTTTAACTAAGATACCAAGTAAGTAATACTTACCTTTATCAATAAGAAATGAAAAGAAGAAAAAAAGAAAAAAAAGTAAAAAGCGCTATGCAAGGAAATATAGACAAGCTATGTAACGGAGCATAAAATATCTTTTATCAGGTACGTAGAGCGAAAAATGCTTGATATGATAAACAACGCCAAATTTCGTAATCCACATTGCCAATTTGACAAAACCTAGCTTTAGGTTACTTTATTGAAAGGAACTGCAAGGGATCTTGAGCCCTAATGTAGATGTTGCTCTATACCACAAAATTATTTTATAAAGTCATGCTTGATAGGTGAGCAATATTGGATTAACTGAACCCTATGAAATAAACTCAAAATTGAAGCAATTCGTTTACTATTATGAAAAGTATTTATTATTCATGATTCATGCCAAGTGTATCAGACACTATGAGTCCATTGGCCCAGCAATACTCAGGTTTTCGTGACTCTTTGAACTGGTCGGAGCGATATTTTTTAGTCCGTGGACTTCGTGCCCATAAGGTTTTTTTTTTTTTTTTTTTACTATTAGCCATCAATGCCAAAAAAGAAATCTACATTACGATCTGATGTAACATTAAGCATCGATCAGCAAAAACTCTTTAAGCCTTCACAACCAAAACAATCTTTACGACATAGAAAAGAAGAAAATGCTTCTGAAGTGCTCCAAGAGATGATTGCAAACTCTGATTATGACAATGCCCTGAAATTATTCAAGGCTCTACTAGAAAGCTCACGTTTCAATATTGGTAGTTTATGGGAGGTATGGTGATGAGACATGGCACAATGTCCTTTTCTTATTATTATAATAGACAGGCGTTGAGTTAATCGGCACAGTTGAACCCGCAAAACTCACTGATTATTTACATGGAGTTTATATTTGTTCTCAAGGAAAAACGGTAAGTTCAATTAAAGATGATAATATTTTGCTGATTGATTGTTGTAGCGTTTGGCTGTATTTCATGCATATATTGATAACTTGATGCTTGAGAAACGATGGCAAGAAGCCCTTGATGAGCTTGAACTGTAAGTTTATACAATAATAGATTTCCTTCATGAACTAATCATACACCAGACGACGTGACTCACCCAAATACCAAACTGCAGCACTCTTGGATAAAATATCAACTTGTAAAAAGCAATTAGGCAAATAGATGTATAATAATGTAAATATTCATGTGTTTATGTGTACAAAGTGGTATATAAATGTTTTTATTCTACAATCAAATCCTTTACATCCCAATCTTCATATGTATTATCGGGTAAAAATCGTCTGACGATCAATGGAACTTTCTTCTCTCGCAACTCCTTCATGGCAATCACTAATGCATCTGTTTCACCGTCTAATTCAACCATGACTGGTGCATTCATACTATTGCCTTTATTAGTTTGTTTATTTTTGATATTTATTGTGTCCTTGTCCTAACCTGATCTGAAGTGCACGAGTTCCCAAAATTCTTGCCTTTTCAAACTTTGTCATGTAAGGTGTTGTCTGTCTTACTTTGGATGATCCTTGTTCTTCAGATCCTTTCTCAATAATCTCAATTGAAGCCTCATCCATCTATAATAATGAATAATTGAACCTACAACAAGACTTTATAACTTACTGTAATACTAAAATGGTGTTAAACGTTTATGTCTTTTATTGATTAAATTCACTTACTCTCTAGACATTTTTTTAACAGTAAAAAATATATAAAATGCGCAATCAGCACTTCCTTCCAAATTATTTATACAAGCCACAATAGCCCCCTTGCCACACACACAGACATATTTATATACATGACAAAAATGGGTTCTCTTTAATGAATATCACACATACACACACGATAAAAGGAAACATAAAATACACAAATTAAATATAATTACTTCTGGTCAACACCATGCTGCTTGATAATATTGGCTGCATATGGATGTTCGCTTCCCTCAAAGATCTTCAAACGGTCCAATCGAACTTGTCGAAGTCTATTCTTTGGTAACATGCCTGAAACAGCCTTACGAATAGGCTAAACATATAATATATAAGTAAACATGTCTTTTTTACTTTCTGTTGTTTTTACCTCTGTTGGGTCATTGGCTTGAAGGTTTTTAAAGTTGATTTCTTTTAATCCACCAGGGTACATGGTATGGTGACGATATAACTTTTGTTCAGCTTTCTTTCCAGAAACCAGGACATCTTTGGCATTAATAACAACAACATAATCACCACAATCAGCTATTAAAAATATTAGTAAATTGATGGATAAACATTGAATACGACATTACATGCTGGATCGTAAATAGGTTTATGCTTTCCCATCAAGGTGGTTGCAATATTTGTAGCCAAACGGCCTAAAACTCTTTGCTTAGCATCAACAACATGCCACACACGGGCATATGCAAGAGCAGTCTATTTGAGATATTAGTGAATAGAAAGAAAGAAAGAGTGGGAAGAGCATGAACCTACATTTCCAACAGCTTGTGACATTCTAAAGAAAAACCTCCAAAACTGTCAATGAACTACTGTCCCCGCTGGTTTGAGAGGGTACACGGCTCTCAAGAAAAGTAGTCACAAACTCTTTGTTTGAGCGATACTGTCATCACGTGATACTATTCACCTTTAGGAACACACAAAGAATACGCCAAGTTGCATCTTTTAGCATTTCGACACATGAGCAGCGAAATTAACTGCATTGCGCTTATTGGAAAGCAGGTGTGATGATGTGTATGTGATGTAGAATAATAAAAAGAATGCTAATCGTGATGAACAGAATAATCCATTATACATCAAAAACTTTAATACTTCGCATCCTGACTTAAAATATCACTACATTGCACACACATCAATAGACGTCATTGAAGAAAGAGTATCTAATGGACCCAAGAGCTTAGATGCTTACTTGGGCTTATTATATGCTATGGAGGATTTAGCAGTGTACATATTCAATAAGCTGGAGACATCAATAGAGTGTTAATAATTCCTCCCATAGATATGGATATATAACAAACACCAGAGTCAAAATTATTGCTGTTGTATCTGTCACTGATGGAATCATTCGTGATGCAGATATGAAAGCTGTAAATGTGTATTGATGTTAAATGTATATGTATTAACCTTTATTTTACAACAGCTATTTCGTAAAATACATTCTGCTTATGTTGCAAACGTATGCAACCCGTTTTATAATGTGGATTCTCAAAAACCTATTACAAGTAAATCATTTACCAAGGCTATTGAATCTATTGGAATGAGTGCAAGAACATTAGAAATATAATAAACACTATCACGTTTAATACATGTCTGTCTTTGTCTACTCTCTGCTGAGTATCACTTTTGAAACGCAGATAAAAAGAGAGAGAGAGGATCTTCCTTGTAATACATAAAAAATCTTTCTTTCCCCTTTCTTTTTTTTCCATATGAATCTTCCTAAAATAAAACGAATACCGTCTTTTGCTTATCCTTTGAAAGGAGTTTATTTCTTTTTAGCCCATCCAAAGGTATATAAAGAGTAAGCATTTGTTCTTTATTAATAGTTGCTACAAAAGGAACTATGGTTAAAAACGCTCAGTCCTATTGTATTGTCAATCATCTTTAGCACTTTCTCTATTGGATTTTCATTAAAGGTACTTTTGCCTGGACATGTTGAGAAGTTAATCGAATGGCACTGGCCACACTGGATGTCTTGGTTCGTTTCTGTCATTTCTGTTGTCCTCGAGAGTGCCATCATCAACTTGCTGTTCTTTGCCATTTTGGTGCCCATCTTTCAGGATGCTGTGTTTGACGCTACCTTAGAAGCTAGAGGATTAGGTCATCTGTTAGATGATACCGAGGATATACCAAAGCTTGTCATTTGTTGGCGTAATATAAGGTCAAGCATCTTGGTAAATTGGTTACTGATTATGGTCAAGGTACGTCTTTAAATTTAATATGCCGTTCTATCTCTCTAAAAAAGTAATAGATCTTACTTTTGATTCTCACATCTCCTTTTCAACTGGTGCCTATTGTTGGTACAGCACTGGCTTGCTATATCAGTGGATGGCCAACCGCGTAAGTTATGAGTACTAATGAATGTACCTGGTTTCGTCTGACTTTTTTTTTCTTATTATTCTTTTTCGTTTAATACAGTTGGAACCAGCACCTGCATTATGATATTGAAATCCGCGGACTCAAAGTATCCGAATCATACCGCTATGCAAAAGAACATAAATGGGACTATGCCAACTTTGGCTCCGTTGCGTTTGCTTTGGAAATCTTGCCCGTATTTAATATCTTTTTCGTATGGACAAACATCGTAGGCGCTGGTTTATGGGTGGCCGCTACCTACGAGCACGAAAATGATCAGACAGCCGAGGAAGAAGAGAGCGTACCTTATCCTCCTGCAAAGAAACCCACGACAGCAACAGCCACAGAACAAACCCCACTTCTCCAATAATAAAATGCCCCAAAAGATTCTATACCTGTCAATTGATTAAACTGTAGCACAGTTGACACCTATTAAGGGACGTTTGTGTAATGTTGCATTTTTAAAAAAGAAAATTGCATGGCTTAGAGACAGTCTACAGTTTAAAGAAGTTGCATATAAAAAAAAAAGAAGGGCGTCACCATTCAAAGCGATGCTTATTCTTACTGTTCCAAAGTCTTTGATTTTCTACCTAGCAGAATCTCTATGTCATGCCTTGAGTTTTAACTGAATTTTTTCGTAAGCGATTCATATAATCAAGATGAGAAAAGAGCCCAGTATTCATATAGAGTTTATACTTCTTAGGTATATTGGTCCTTTTGTAACTGAAAGGACAACTCTCTGCACACGTAAAGATGTCAACGCGTTGGTTTCCTATGTGAAGATATTGCTGTTCAATTTATAAGCAACGTCCCCTGTGTTTTTCGATATCCTCTGTCAATACCGCAACAGCTACAGCAGTAATATCATCTGAGTCTATAGTACCAATGACAGTATGATTTCTAGGGTACTTGAGGTACATAAAGTTACCAGACCGTAAGGCAACAGGGCTTCCTCGATCAGGGTTAGTTGCGTTAGCTATAAGCACTACATTGCTATTGTTGCGATGGATTTCCTCACAGACTTTAGGAGACGGTATCATTCGTTAAGATATAGACATAAAAATAGTCCAAGTGATCTTTTTGCTTTTTAAAGATTCAGAGAAGGCAGCGATGATTAGGACAGAGGGCTCGTGCCATCCACCTTCTTAGGTGAGCATCCTTTGTGAACTCCCATAAGCGTGCTTGCCTCGACTGCTTGAATGACGTTATATCCGGTCTCGACCGAGGAGCGCGCCATGAATGCATGAATAACACCAGCTCCAAGCAAATAAAACAAATACAATGCTGTCACTCGTGAAACATGCACTAACGTTTTCTAAAGTAATTAGTAGCGATATACAAAAACGTCCACTGATGACGAATAATATTTCCATAATAATATCTATTTGTGGTGATACGAGATCTACAAATTTCCTTTTCGGAAACTGCCTAATGTTTGTACTTTCTCAAAATCTATTGTAGTGGAAATAGGGAATACTTTTTCAGTATAAACAGGCGATGCCCAATATTGTGGAAAGTGGCTTTATGTGTAGCTATCAAGGTCTTTTCCTCTCTCAAAATGATAGGTTTTGTATAAAGAGGTCAGCTTTTCCTAGTTTCTTCAACTAAAGTTGATATAACTAGCTTCTAATTCACGGCACTCCTTCCGAATGGTTTGATTCGACAAGTTCCACTAAATGCCTACCAAAACTATATAAAATCAAGGCCCATTTTCAAGATCACTTTTTTTTAAAAAAAAAACACGATCAATTACTTTGAAGTGACAAAAATGGAATACGTACGACTTGGCAAAACTGGAATGAAGGTATATTGACCCATTGATATTGCATGAATTTAACCATTTTTAGGTATCTCGAATCTGTTTAGGTGCCATGAGTTATGGAAGCTCCAAATGGCTTCCTTGGGTGAAGGATGAAGAAGAATCACTGGAATTGATCAAGATGGCGTACGATGCTGGCATTAACTTTATTGATACCGCAAATGTTTACAGTAACGGTTTGAGTGAACGCGTTGTGGGCAAGGCCATCAAAAAATTCAACTTGCCTCGTAACCGCATTGTAATTGCCACCAAGGTTCATTTCCCCGTACACGAAGATGACATCGCTATTCAGCCTTTTGGTTTGCCTTTGGATGATCCTAGATTGATAAACAATGGAGGTTTGTCCAGAAAGGCTATCCTCCAAGCTGTTGACGACTCCTTGAGACGCTTGGATTTGGATTACATCGATTTACTTTACATTCATCGTTTTGACGAGGTGGGTTTATTGAGCAACAGTAAAAAAAGACAGGTTGCCAATATTATTATTAGGAAACTCCTATGGAAGAAACCATGGAAGCTTTGCATGATGTGGTAAAATCTGGCAAGGTGCGTTATTTGGGTGCAAGCTATATGAACGCATGGCGCTTCGTACAGATGAATGCCATAGCTGAGATGAACGGGTGGACTAAATTTGTTGCTATGCAAGACTTGTACAACTTGGTCTATCGTGAAGAAGAACGCGAAATGATACCTTATCTTGCTTATAAAGGTATTGGTCAGGTCCCATATTCTCCATTGGAAAGAGGCAGATTAGCCCGTCCTTTAGACCAAGATACCCTTCGTTCGTCAGTTGACTCTAGTAAACCCTGGTCCAGATCATTGACCGATGCTGACAAGGAAATTGTTCAAAGGATTCAAAAGGTTGCTGAACAGCGAGGCGTGCCTATGGCTCAGGTAACCTAAATCATATCACAAACAAGAGTTAGATCACTCACATTTCCTCCTCTTCTAGGTGAGCATTGCTTGGTTACTTAGCAAGCCTACTGTAGCATCTCCTATTGTCGGTATTAGCAAGGAATCACACTTGAAAGATGCTGTCGCAGCTGTTTCGCTCAAATTAACTAAAGAGGAGATTAAATTCTTGGAAGAGCCCTATGTTCCTAAAACTACAATTTCCAAGTAACTTGAGGGGGTTCCGAGAATTTCTACTGTCAACCATATCATTTGACGCCAAGGGCTTTTGTTTGACGCCAATTATTCAAAATAATATTTCCCCTATAAATGACTAAATAAAAGCAAATAGTTACCAGAACTCTCTCTTGCCATTTATTGCTAGTGTTGTTCATCTAACCATATCATGCAGATGCCCTCTGCCATGAGATAACCAAGTACTTCACTTACACATGTATGTCTCTAGTTACACTAGATTATATTTATAGTAAATCGGATACACAACGATTCAAAAAATGAACAAGTTGAACAATAAGCATCAAAGAATGGAGTATTAGAGAGTAAAGTGAATTATTTGGCAAAGAACATCAGTCCAATTGCCTCCGCTGTCAAACGAGTTCGCTGATAGGCCCTTGAATACAAGGAAAGACGTTGGTTGTGACTTTTCTCATGACTGCTTCCAACCCTGCATTGTGCTTTGGTAGCAATTGCCGAAAAAACGGACATTGATGATTTGCATTATAAACTGGAACGTATTGCACCCGCTTTTTGTGATTATACCGCTGCCATTAACATCCATTTAAGCAAAGATATAACACACACACTCTCTCTCATTTTCTGTCTCTCCCCAAAATATAAAAGAACTAGAACAAATTCAAAAAGATGTATGTGAAGAAGTCAAAATGAAGTAAATAACACTCAATTGGTAACAGCACAGATAGATATGAATAGTTATTTACTGACTCCAATTCTCTTACGTGATTTTTCATAAACTTTGCGCTGATGGGAAAGGACCGGAGATCATTTTTATGTTGACATTGCGCAATATGGAAGAGCGTTGAATGGATTAAGAAACTATAAATTCGCTCATCTGATTGGACAGAACAATGATTTGTCATAGGTTGCCTATTCAAAGCGATAGATCTGAAATAACAAAGCTCCATTTCAATATAAAAGCAGAACAAAGCTCTCTTCTTTTTTTCTTATTAATTCTTCATATTTCGTATAGTTCATCATGTCTCTTACTGAAAAGGCTACTTTTGCTGCTGGTTGTTTCTGGGGTGTTGAGCATATCTTTAACAAACATCACAAGAAAGATGGTATAACCACAAGAGTTGGCTATATTGGTGGTGAACTTGACAATCCAGACTACCAACAGGTACAATAGAAAAAAATTTTTATAGCTCAGAATAGAGGCAGTCGATATTAAATTTTGCAACGCTAGGTTAAGACTGGCACCACAAACCACGCTGAAGCTTGTGAAGTCACTTTTGATCCAACAAAAATAAGCTATGAGACATTGGTTGAATTCTTTTACAAGTTACATGGTAATATAGATTACTATTCTATAGTAGAATAGGTGTATTTATTGAATGTCTCTCTAGACCCTACTACCGAAAATTATCAAGGACCTGATATCGGTACACAATACCGTTCTGCCATTTTCTATCACAATGACGAGCAAAAAGCAATTGCTGAAAGAGTCACTAAAGAAGTGCAAGAAAAACATTACCCAAATGCCCGTATTGTTACCAAGATTGAACCCGCTACCAAGTTCTATGATGCTGAAGAATACCATCAATTTTATTTGGAAAAGAACCCTGAGGGATATGCTGTAAGTATTAATAAAAAAGTAATTGAATCAGTGACTAATCATTGTTTTCTATATAAAGTGTCCCACTCATTACCTTCGCTGGTAAAAAAAAAAAAAAAAAAAGCAACTATACACACTTGTATTTTTAGATCAAGCATACGCATTTTTATATATATACACACTTTCAACAGCTCATTTTCTATTTTACACACAACCATTCAACATGTACAGTCTATAAATTATATTTTATTGATAATAAAAACCAGAACCACAGTTAATGCATCTCGAACAGCCTTTTAAAATCTTGTCTGTGAATGTGTTATCTTTGGCAATCAGGCTTTTAGCACCACAGGTTAAACATTTACGTGCCTTTGTTTCAAGTAGGACTCGTTTTGTGATACTACAGAGCTCCCAGAGATGTCCTGCATTGCACTGTGCTAGAGAACTATTTCCAATCGCATTCACTGCTTCACTACACACTGGGCATTTTTCTCTTGGCTTCAGGGTATATTCAGCACTGGATTGTAAATTAAAACAAGTAGCGTATTCTAACTCTTGATTAAGGTCGAGAAAAGAAAAGCTCCTTTGCAGTCTTGTGTATACTTGTGAAGCAGCCTGTATGAGTTGTTCATCACGAAGCGCAAGTGCCAAATCGGATAGTATCAGCAATTCAGTCACATCTTGCTCATCAAGATTGCCAAATTCATTGTCTGATAAGCGTAAGGCAAGGTCAAGAGCGTGGGAGAGATAGTATAGCTGAATGACATGCTTTGCCTTTCTGCAAGTATCTTCAAAGGCCGCAGTTGCTTGAAGCAGGTTATAATGCTAAGGTATGTTTTAGTTTTAAAACTACTGGATCTGTGTGTCCTTGGTCACCTTTAGCTTAATCTCGGCATTTATAATAATTCTAGCAGCTATTGTACTTGGTGAGCTAAAAAGAGCTCTTGTAAGATCTTTATCACTAGAATTGGCAAGTCAGTATTGTCTTTTTTCTCCCTTTCTTTTCACTCATACTCTAACTCTGGTCTCTGCTGCAAAAGGCTGTCAAGCTTGATGAGCCACATCTTAAAGTCACTCATATCATCTTCATTGAGCAAATATTCTAATGTTTCATGAACAATAGCTTGTACGGGATAAGTGAAAACTAATAATACACTAGGTTAGGGATATATAGCTGCAAATATCATACGTTACTAAATTCAGGATTATAAGCATATCTATCTAGGTCATCGCAAGCATCATCCACACCAATACCACGCTCTTTTTGGAGAATGAATGCTATAGTTGAATCTTCTTCAGATTCCAACCTATAATGAACATCCACCGTGGGCTTCATACTAATATTTATATGTGGATCAGATGATATCATTTCATCTTTGATTTTTTCTTTATCTTACGTGCAGTATATTGCTGTAATGATCTTATTTCGCCCGTCTGATGCTCCCCAGAGATAGGGAATAGCATCCGATGCGCCAAGAATATCATCTTCCTCAGTCTTTATCTGTTCTTCCATCCACTGCTGCTTATATTTTTGTATCAGTTTCTGATTGAGCTTGTAAGTCTGCTCTTCATCCTTTTTTACTCTTCCATCTTCTGTCATGATTAAATAAATTCCTTCACCTTCAAATGTATAACATCTAAACGTATTTTGATTGATCCAACTGCCTGCTGATAATCCTGCACCAGAGTGGCACAGTGTATATGACCCCCAACCATACTCGTTCACAACATTCCCTTCATCTGTCACCTGAACGCGCATCATGTATACTGTCACGCCTTTGCAAATAGCAATATTGATATAGGATGAATCGTCCATCTGTATATATATATATATACGCGTTTAGAATTAGATCAACCAATAGCACATAGTCAGCTACTTACCGCGTCATCATATGCTTTCAACAAGGTAGGGATAGTTATATCATTTTCAAACCAGCGCTCCAAAACTTTCACCTCCACATTTTCAATGGATTGTTTGTTTCCCTTGCTAAGGTTCACTTGAACCGTGGATAGAGCTACAGTTCCATTAGTAGAACTAGAAGCTAAGAGTGCCACATCTACAGTCAAAACAAGTTAAATCCCCCTCCTTTTGTCATCGGACATGTATCTCATTACATGTAGTCTCATTGATCTTTTTCCATGCACTCCAGCTTACTAAATTCACAAAGGACGTGTGTGGTAACACTTCGGCTCCGTATTGCATACCATGATCTAACGATTGCGTCCAAATACTGATACTGCCTGCTTTATGTGACAGAGCCAATAAGGCAAACTTACTATCCAATGTGTTACCCAGCAGTAACTTTGACCAGCTTGCATCTATATCTCGTGAGTTACTCATATCCATTTTAAAAACAAATACTTACAGAGTGTGTGATGTGACGGATGTGTCCCTTTCTCTTCAATGACACTGGTGATATCCGAGTACTATATCATTACAATTGAGAAACTGCTACATTCAATATCTTACATAAACTAACCAGCTGCCAATCACTACTTAATGGATTTTTTGTGGAGCTTTGATAGGTCAATACTCTATGCTTGGTTGTGACAACAGTCAAAAGACAGCTATATCCAAAAAAAAAAAAAAAAATTATAGAAACATATATATGTGCATTGTTCAAACACTTTACCTCTGTGAAGGCGACATTCCCGAAGGAGACCATGCAGCACAGCGAAATCCTTCTTCATTAAAATATGATGTTTCAATCTCTTCTGGAGTAACTGACAAAAAAAAATAAAAAATAAAAAATAAATAAATCAATTATAGATCTATGCGTGATTGTGATCTCTTCTTTACATGGTTCAATTCCCACATTTTTATCTGAAGGAAATGGCGGTAAATTTAAACCGGCATGAGCATAATTTTCATATTTAGAAGATACTCCTGTTAGAACAGGTGTCTTTATAGTGTCAAAATACGTGTATAAAACGAGGGGAAATCGCGTTTTACCACAATGTGAACTCCATTATCTAAACAAACAGATAATTGTCCATTATCGTTCCAATGAATACAATCTGTAAAATAGGGTCTAGTCTTTAAAGAGATTCCTGGTTGTGTCTCCATTGAGTAAAGAAAAGGATATAGAAAAAGAGGTAAAAAATTACTCAGACATAATAAAAAAAATAATATTCAGACCAGAGGCTTTTAAGGATTTTAAACGATGCTAGCTTGTCTATTAAGATACCTATCCCAGTAAATTTCAGAGTGTTTAATACAGCCGAGGCAGTCTTCTGTAGTGGCAGTTTCACAAGCAGCCTTAATTCTGGGTGTCAAAGTATCTAAAGAGGAAGTGGATTTCATTTGACGTGCTTTTTAAGCTTTGACCAGCACTCCTCAATAGGATTAAGAAAAGGAGAATATGGAGGCATAAACAAAGGTTTATAGTCTCTACTCTCGGCCGCATCCATGATGTACAGGTAATGATGAATTTTGCAATTGTTTATAGCAATATAAAGTCATGCTTGCTGAGCTTGTCCAGGACATCCATGGCATTTCGAATAAAACTTACATGATATGTAGTTGTACCTTTTTTTTGGTTTTTCTTTTTATCATCGTTAATCTTAGCCTACAATAAACCATTCATTATATATCAGTGGCTACAAAGATAAAGCAAAGAATATCAATAGAATGTTACAGGAGGAAGAATAAAAATCGTTTTGAAGAAGGCGTCTGCAAAAAAAATGCCCTTAATTATCTTTGGTGACGGTCTGAAAATCAAATACTATGTAAAGTTTAAAGGTCTTCGGCATGGTGTCTCCAACAAAATCTATAGACAATTAAAGAATAGAGAGGGACTTGGAGGGTTGTTACTTCTTAATATCAATGAATACAAAACTTTCAATGTTAGTATAACAATGATCATAGATCATACATTCTAAACAGTATCTTTATAGACCTACAACTCTTGCTTAAATCAAGACCTACAGAATCTGAAGTGTAGAAGAGGTGATGATAAAAAGATCCATCAAGTATTGAAGTGCAACACTTGCAGTATTTTTTGGAATCGTAATGTAATGGCAGCTAAGAACATGCTTCTCATTGCACATTCTACCTGGAATGGTCAAGCTCGACCTAATGTCTTCAAAAGACAAATCGCCACCTCCAACGTGGTTGCCTCGTCCTACTCCGGTGGGGCGCCAGCTTAAAGGTTTTACAGGTAAAAAGAGCGAATTTTGTTTTTAAAGTTATCTGAAAACTAATCTGAATTTCCTTTTTTATTTCGTCCAAAAAAGGTAAGCAAACATCTGAATATTACTTTTGATTCGTCCAAAAAAAATTAACATTGTCTGACTTTCAAGTGCAAACACCTTAAAGGATGGGCTTTTCATCGTATTCATGCTGTTGAACAGTCCAGAAGGGACTATCTTTTTCATTTTTTTCATGACGAACGTGTGCATAGAGTGGAATGGTGACAAAGTCGATGGAAGGATACCTGTTAAACTGATGGCTTGAGAGCGCATTATATCTGTCATCAAATTCAATGACAATAGACTTAATATAGGGAGTCAGTGTTATTGTCCTCATTTTGTTGTCTGTTTATACTTACATAGTGAGGTTTCAATCCAGTTTCGGCATGGATATACATTTGCTTGGTAACATCATTTAAATCTGAACCGTTCTTATTAAATCGATAATTGATGCCTCTGATGTTTTCTGTTACATTAATACGGTTGCATACATCAATGACGGACCTTTCAAACTATACAATATCAATAAAGATATAAATATAACAACCTATACTTACTCTTTCGCGCATCACCCTGTGCCTCCATATGAAGAGAAGGGTCGTAAGTACCATAAAAAAGGGCAGGGTGATAAGCTCCGAGGAAAATCTGTAATGGCTCCATAAGATATAATCAATCACAAGAGCAGACATCCAAAGAATAACAATAGCAGTAATCCAAACGTTTTTGCTGCCTGGTGGAGGATGCTTGGCAACTGTCTGATTGAGTAAACGAAATGAAGAGTTGAAATCTGCAACAGAAAGCTACAATATGGAATGAATAATTATGAATTCATGGATTGTCACACTCACATATCCTTGAAGTTCAAAAGTGTATTGATCATCAAACTTTTTGTTTACAAAAGAAAAGCGAACTGATTTCATAGTAAATAAATGAATGTAATGGGGGGAGGGGAGCTATTAGCTTGATGTAAGAGGGATGGTTGTACTATTTACATATGATCATAGCCTACCTATAATAATGTAAAGAAAAAGAAAAAGAGTGTAAAGGCTATATGTTTTCTATAGAGACAGATAGAGAGAGAGAGAGATACTAAACATAAGGAGACAAGATACCTAAAAAGTTAGGAGATGCACGATGGATAGACAAAGGAGCTACTGTGTGTGTGTGTGTATAATTGTTTTAAATAAAAGCGATTTCTATTCTCTCTCCTTTCATAAGCATATATCATTAGAATAACTATTGTAACAACACCTCGATCTCCTTCTTTCTCAACATATACATAAACTTGTGATATGCAATTCAACAATCCATTGTTTAATCGTCTATTCATGCACTTTTGTGGCAACTGCAAGGGGGTAGAAGATAATAAAAAGTGGTGTTTACAACTACTAATTTAGTAAACTATATCTCGGTTGCTTAGCATTTAATGAATAAAGCGAGGAAAGGGGGTCGATGTTTTCTTTCTATATTTTTATTATTCTTCTTGCTATTTACATTGCCTTTCTTTTTTTTGTCCTTATTTTCGTCCAGATTGCTCTTCTGAAAATTTCAAGTATTCCTTTTGCCTCATGTCTAACACACGACGCTTATTAAAATACTCGACCTAAAGAGAACTCATATTAGCATAATGTTATAATTCAATATTGCATTTTGTTTTGTTTTTTACCCAACTGGCCATGCAACCTTCTTCATAATTTTTCTTTAATTCCAAACATTCAGGGGCCTTCTCGGGTGTTTTCTCAACAGTTGCAGGGTCTCTTATGTTACATCTATCTAAGCACTGGAAGTATTGATCACGTAAAAACCAGCATCGTTTTCTCTCCTCGCGACTTGGGGGTTTAGAGCCTGATTCAGCCATTTCTAAGAAAAAAAAAAAAGATAAAATTTAGCATTCAACTTTCATAAAGCTGTATTTAAAAATAAAAATCACTATATACAGCTGTCAGTATGGTAATAGCATTACTTTACAAACTCAACATAAGAATGAATGCGTCATAATGAAGATATTGACTATGTCAAATAGCTCAATATTTTGAGAGAGATAGAGGACCAATCGTATATATACGTAAAAAGAGAGTAACGCGATGAAAAACTGACTCGGCTGATAAAGCCCCACAACTTAAACACTGTTCCTGTGGAGTACCTATACAACACCTTCAAATACTGCATGCATGTCATCAGAATATACTGACTTGATAAATCACCGTGCTTTTTCCCGTGATCATATACTGCAAAGAAGAAAGAATGGGATACCCCCTTACTGTACTGATTCGGACATTGGGCATAGTTCCTTGGCCTCTCGCTCACTTTTGGTGAACTTGATGGAAAGAAGAGATCACTCATTTGGTGTCATGTATATACATCATCAAGAAAGTAATGATATAATCATCTATTATATTGGGAAGAGAGAGCTTGCCTAGAAACTATACTCAGGTTGTGTTTGGGGAGAAGTCCCTATATGACTTTTCCTATCCTTGATACTAGGAATCGTCTTCATGATCTCTTACGTGCTTTGAATGCAAGGCTGGTAAAAGAGGATGTCAAATTCCTTAAAGAAGATTATGCTTCCAGGAGAGCCTATCCAAATTAAATAAAGCATGAAACTTTGAGTTAATATACCTAAATTGACATTTAAATGATATATCCCTCAAGATGAATAAACAACATTTATCATTGGCTGGGAAGATTAAAGAAGGGTGTTGGGAAGGGATAACAGTAGCAAAGGGGGAGGATGAAGAATAGCTTCTTTTACCTGAAGGATATCACTTAAATTTTTTAATGAAATTGTGACATGAATGGCAAATGTATGTCTTTTGACAGTCGTTGGTAGATATTTGACTATGATATCTAAATACCCTTTTTTTTTTTTTTTTAATAAGGATTCCTTCATTTCTAAAGCATGTGTAAAAGGTAAGGAAAAAAAATGAACAGATATGAAACTAAAGCATGAGGGGTAAGGAAAACACTAGCTTTACCGAAATCGTTAGCATAAAGAATGCAACCCTTTCTTTTTTAATAACTCCTTGAAGAAAATACTTGCAATAAATTATGTAAGGTCAAGTATATATTTATTAATACAATAAAATCAAGTGTTTGTGTTACTTTTCATTAGGTATATGTAGTTGAGATAAAGGTGAAGGTCTATGTGTGTGGTAGTTGGATTGAGTGATTTCGCTGTCATATACATTCTCTTCTTCATCTCTTGGTGGTTGATTTTCGTAATCATCCTGTTCTTGACCACGACTTACCCACTTCTTCAAGAGCTCGACTTCAATGTTTCCGAGAATAAGCTGTTCGACGTGATAGAGTAAAAGCGGAGTTGAGAGCACACCGACTGTACCTGGATCTCCGTTAGAATACAAAACGTTGATCAGTGGTACGCCCATAGCCACCGTTTTGGTAGCTCCACAGTACTACAAATACATATTTAAATGATGCCCAATAATTGAGAATAAACTTACCATGATAGCAACTGTGTCTTCACGTGAATATCTTAATCGTTTGACCCAACTGGGTGTATTGATAAATCTCGGTAATGGCAATCTTCCGAGAACTAGGCAAAGTAAAGAGAAGAGTATGTAGAATCCTGCATTCATAATAGCAACTGCAATAATATCTTTAGGCTTGACTGCGTTAAATGACCCAGAATAAACAGCGTCGGAAAAGACAGACCAAACCATGGTAAGAAGCATAAAACTGCTGACATCCGATAAGCGAAGTTTAACTTTATATTTAGCCACTTGTTCCGTAAAGAACCACTGGAAGATTTGACCTACGACAAGTGGAGCCAAGACGGTAAGGCCCAATTGCTTTAAAACCGATATAAAGTCTACTGTTCCCGCTGCTTCTGTTGTACTTTCATTCTCTGGTGTGGCGGCAATCAAAGGATCTTGAAAAAGTGATACAAGGGCAGGAGACACAAAGATACCCAAGACGTTACCAAGTGCAGCATTCATTAAAGCTGTGAGAAAGAAAAAAAGATAAGCAAATGATCATCGCAAATCTAGTTTAAAAAATTTACCAGAGGCTTCGTTTCCTTTTGCATTTTTAGTCATGACAACGTTAGAGGATACAGTCGTTGGTGTACTTGCAGCAATGACGACACCAACAAGTAGTAAAGAGCTAATGTCCATATGTAATTTGAAGAATAATAGTACAAGGCCGAATACAAAAAATGGGATGACGATTAGATTGATAATCTGAATTAATAAATGTAATCGGATACGTAGAATAGTCTGCGCTAATATTTTTGTACGAAGAGATAAGCCAGAGATCAGAAAGATGACAATGACAGCGCCTATTTAAAAAAGAGTTAGCATTTACGGTATGTGAAAAAGGGACGCTTGCACATTACCCCATTTGATCGTCCACTCTGCTCTAATGTAGCCGCCTTTCCTAGCTACATTCGGAAATTCTATAGCAAGAATTATAGCAACAAGTAGACCAAGCAAAAACCAGTATTTTACAAATAGAGCCCAGGCGACTCTTCTGGTAGACCTTAGCACATCTTTAAAACTTTTCTTTTTTACACTTTCGGCAGCAATGGTCATTGACTTTTCTGAATAAACAGACGGTGTAGTTTGCTTTCGATCGGCATTCTGTATTGTAGCTGCACTGGCAAAGGAAGCGTTACTTTTTAATTTTGATTCATTCATAATTAATTTAAATAAGCCAAGGAAGAGAGAAGGAGAAGAAGAAGAAGAAGAGAACATGATTTTTATAGGCATTTTCTATCTCTTTTGTTTATTTTATACATAAATAAATAAAAAAAGAGAAAACCTGGAAAGAATTAAAGCAGAAATCTGCAGCACATCTTATTCAGATGCTGGGGAGGAAGAATAAGGGGGAAAAGTAAGGTATATACATCATAGGATACATGAATTTAGTAATACCTTTGTAAGGAAAAAACGAAGGGGGATATATATAACGTGAATCATAGGGGGGTTTACCAATGTGTATGATTTGTCTAAATGTTTGGTAGAAATACATGTGTGCGCGTGTCTAATGTTAAACAAAAAAGCATAATTGATAAAAGCCATTTATTAAATTATTTGTTTTCCCTATCTTTTATTGATCCTTTTTGGGCAAAAAAGAAAGGGGGAAAAAGAGAGGGGAGGGAATCGAACAGGGGACGTGATGGCGAATAAAGTTAGTAAGAGAATATATAATTTGTTACCATAAGATTTATTTTATTTGCAACAAGGACATACATAAATGGAATGTTCTCTGTTATTTCAATGAGTTTATGCATATCGAATCTATGATCTTCGCTTTGTTGATCTGCATACAATTTGATTTATTTGTAGTGTAGATCGACTTTTGTCTCGGATAAGCAAATATATTGTGTTGTTCAGATGTGGCAATTTCACTTTTTTAGGACATACGTATGCGCCAAGATTATACAGTCGCGCATAGTAGACAGATTCAAAAACACGAACGGTAGTAGTCACACGCTCTATTGTGACAATGTCAATGCTTCCGATATTGAAAATACAGCAGAAATAATAAAACATACTGATAACTTTCCCTATATGCAACCTATTTAAAATTATTTTATACTCACACGTGTATCTCTCCTTTGTCTTTCTTTCTTTGAATAAAGTCATTCCTACATGGACATTAACAACTACGTCATTCACAGTAAAGTAATTTGACATTGCTCAAATTACACACTTTTTGTTTGGGAGATTATTGTCTTTTTAAAGAGTCAGAATTATTAACTGTATATTGAATACAGACATGAGACCATTGTCAAATGAGAATAGTAAAAACAATGCCAGATACCGTGCAAAAATTATAGAAAAAGCACATGACACTACTGTTACTTAATCCCCTTAGCAGACATATTTATATCCTTTTGAAAAAAGATTGAAATAAAGGAATAAACATAAAACAGCAACTGAGAAATACGCCAATATGCCCAGGTACCTAGGTTCTGGACCAGGGCTTCAATCGTGCTTTGCTGACGAATCAGTGTTATGTTTAGCGCTGTCAAACAACATTTTCGGATGTACTACACACACAAGGAACGCCCTCTTGATAAATATCGACCTAAAGTTGACAGATGCATCTTTTGAGAAAGAAGTCGAATGGTTCATTCAACATGATCCTTTTTTCTCTTACACACACAGCTAGCATCAGTGTCGTCATTCCATATATCAAATAAGGTTTACAAAAGTTATTCAAAAAAAGACTCTATTTACTTTGAAAACACTGTTTCTTGATGAAAACCCCTATAAGGAAAACGTCAAACGAACACCTACATACCCCCACTTTTTATTTATTGGCTATGTCATGATCCCCCCTTTTTTTTGTTCTAAACAGACATTTTATAAAATGCAGTTGTGATTTCTAAAGTAGACGACATGCATTTTTGTTTTAATAAATGCATTGTGCACAGTCCGGAATAACTTTCTTGCATACTGTCCTATAAGGGCATCTGACAATTTCAGTTGAAAGTTGGGTTAACAACACGGTGAAATTGCATTTCAAAATGAAAAAACCTTAAAGAAGTGAGTAAGGCTCAGGCACTATTAATGACAGCGAATTCGGAAGCTGAGCTGATATGCAGTGAAGCTCAAGTTTTGAAAAAGATGATTCATCAATCAACGCTTCATTTCTTTCGTGTTCAAAGCTACCAACATCGTCAAACTAGCTTTTATCATTGACCTTCAAGGACTGCACAAAGGAAAACGCTTTTTGAAAACGGGGTCCAAGATCGAACACATGCCAGAGAGTATCTTTCTTATAGTGTAGATCTGATGAACAGCAACCACTGCTATATCCAACATATTCCGCTTGTGTTGATACAGATTGGCTCATAATGAATAAAACCTTTACATCACGTAATGATACAATCAAATTTTCACTTTTGGAAATGCAATTTCTTTACAGCATAATGCATATTGTTTACAAATCGTCATAGAAGCTTATGTAAGACATGGCTGCATAACTCCTATACGACCCATTTGCAAATAGACCGCAAGTCTTGTTTACTTTGAATAGGTTTAGAGCCAAGTATGAGCAAAAAGAGTATTATATGCTCTACTATAAGCTAATCCCTTTTTGTAGTATGACGCAAGTCTGGAAAGAAGTACGACCATAATTGACTAACCATAAAGATTTTATCGCTAACAACTATTCAGCTAAATATACTGTTTGATATTGTTTTTGAAGTACTCTCGTTTAAAAGGTGTGCTCATTAGAGGGAGGAGAGAGAGAGAGAGTCACTGGTAGCTATTTGAAATTGGATAACTACTGCAATATCTTTCAGTAGCCACTGCAATGCATATCACATTGTCAATTATGTGTGCAGATAAATATTTGTCGTACGGATAATGTTGATAAGCAGACCGTGCTAGTTTATAGATGCATATAAAGAGAGATATAGATCCAGTAGAGAAAAGGATGATAAGCAAAAAGTGAACGCTATTAAATGCTGGTGTAACGACTATAGAGGAATGAAATATTGATAAGCCATATAGAGAATCGTTATCGCACTTTCCCCTTTAAATTAAAATTGTTCTCACGTCTCAGCCAATAAGATTTTAATCCTAGACATACTCTTGCCCATTTTACTCCTGCATAAACCAACCAGTTTCATACAAAAATCCATCTTTATCATATTTGCATTTCTCTTTATCTTTCTCTTTCCTTTTTCCCCTTTTTATTTATTTTTTTCAAATAATCTCAATCTACCAGAATGACTACAGGCAAATTAGAGCCACCAACCACACTTTTAAAGAGAAAATCAATGACAGACATGGGCTACAATGCCAATGTGTTTATTGGAAAGAATGAACAAATGATTCAAGTGGGACAATATTTGACGAATTCAGGATTTATTCCAAAGGAGTTTGTTCAAAATGAAGTTGTTTGGTTTTATGAGTAAAAAAAATAATAAAAATAGCGCGCAGTACAAAACTAACCGCCCCTCTATCACTGCAGAAACCTTGGTATAGATGACTATTACTTTGCAGTTGAATCAGTTGAGACAATTGCTAATCATATTACTGCTCTTTATGGTGCCAAAATACTCGCTTATACAAAAAATGAAAGTGTGGTAGATATCAATCTCGAAAAAGAATCGGAAGACTCCTCGGTTTACATTCACTCTTCCCCTCCGGGTGTATCTCTTCTCCAGGGCCATCAATGCGAGAAAAGGTGAGATAAATTACCTTTTAGGGGAGTAAGAAAAATAAAAAATTTAAAAATAGAATTGATGAAAAATACTTGGATCTGCTCGGTTCCTCGGAAGCCTATCGTGTAGAATCGTATCGTTCAAATGCTACCGCGGCCTCAGGCATGTCTTCTCAGTTAAGGTGTTACTTTGTCACCAAGTGCCAGTTCAATAGTCCCAAGCCTACTGCAGATCAAGAACGAGATATTTATCAAGTGGCAGATCAAAACTTTTTGAAAAAGGCGACAGAGTATACCCGAAAGGTCTATCAGGATGTGATGTGTGATGTACTCGAAAGGACAGGTCCAGTGATGGAAATGTATGATGTGCCAGGTACAAGAGAACATCGTTTGATCATTGGTTATCGCCAGCGAAGTACTCAGGGTTTCTTTGCTGCTATGTCTGATCTCTATCATTATTATGGCCTATATTCCACTCGCAAATATGTTGGTAAGTTGCCTTAAGAGCCACCTCTTTAACAAAGCTTAATGTTTTATTATCAGAACAATTTTCCAATGGAGTGACCATCATGGCATTATACTTGCATCCTCTATCTGATCCAAAAGATGGAATACCCATCGAACATTCTATCCATCAAGTGATCAGAGAAATTTCTCTCTTGTATTGTTTACCAAAGAACCCACTTCAGCACTTCTTTGTCACCAACAAGCTCTCCGTACAGGAAACCGTTTATGGTTATGTTGGTTGGATCTTTTGCCAGCACTTTTTGAATCGTCTTGGACAGGAGTACATCAGTCTGACCCACATCCTTGATTCTGCAAACCCCTTACATGAGGAGGTCTTGGCCACGATCAAGAAACGGTTACGACAGGACACATTCACTCGCGAATACATTTTGAACATTATCAGACAACACCCCGATCTTGTCAAACTTCTCTACGCCAACTTTGCCAAGGTGCACTACCTCAATCGACGTCAAGGCCGTTTGCAACAGACAATCTCATACCAACGACTGCGCACAATTGAGGATTTGACAGAAGAAGAACTGCGCAAAAAGATCAAGTCATCGACTTCCAACAGCCACGAGCAGCTCGTGTTTGAATCGTTCTTGACTTTTAATAAGCACGTGCTCAAGACAAACTTTTACCAATCAACCAAGGTCGCACTTTCCTTCAGGATGGATCCAAGCTTCTTGCCCGAGATCGAGTATCCAAATCCACTCTACGGCATGTTCTTCGTCGTCGGTTCCGAGTTCCGTGGGTTCCATCTCAGGTTCCAGGACGTAGCAAGAGGCGGTATTCGTATCATTCGCTCACGTAACCGTGAAGCTTACTCGATCAATTTGCGAACCTTATTTGATGAAAACTACGCCTTGGCCGCCACACAACAAAGGAAAAACAAGGATATTCCCGAAGGTGGGTCTAAGGGCACGATTCTGCTCAATATCGATCAGCAAGACAAGCCTTTGGTTGCCTTTGAAAAATACGTGGATTCTATCTTGGATCTGTTGATTGTCGGATACGGAGACCCCTTGGTTGATCTGGTGGGTAAGCCTGAGATCCTCTTCTTTGGTCCTGACGAAGGTACAGCCGATTATATGGATTGGGCATCTCAACATGCTCGTCGTCGTCATGCTAGCTTTTGGAAAGCCTTTACGACAGGCAAGTCACAAGCTCTGGGTGGTATACCTCATGATCTATTTGGCATGACAACGAGATCAGTGCATCAGTATGTCTTGGGAATCTACCGTAAAGATGGCTTAAAGGAAGAAGAGTGCACTAAAGTACAGACAGGCGGGCCAGATGGAGACCTCGGGTCCAACGAAATCAAAATCTCCAAGGACAACACGATTGCCGTGGTGGATGGCTCAGGCGTCCTTTATGATCCTGTAGGCATTGATCGTGACGAGCTGAACCGATTAGCTCAGTCTCGATTGATGATTCATCATTTTGACAAAAATAAACTATCCCCTCAAGGCTTCTGTGTCCTCGTAGACGACAATAATGTGACATTACCTGATGGTACTATGATCGAAAGCGGATTACAGTTCAGAAATACGTTTCACACCAATCCTTTGGCTCAAGCAACCGTATTTGTTCCCTGCGGTGGACGTCCAGAATCAGTTGGACTCGATAACATGCACATGCTAATAGATTCTGGTAATGGCCCGTTATTCAAATATGTCGTAGAAGGCGCCAATCTCTTCTTTACCCAAGAAGCTCGTATTCGATTGGAAAAGGCAGGTATAAAGATATTCAAGGACGCCTCAGCCAACAAGGGCGGTGTCACTTCATCCTCTCTCGAAGTCTTGGCTGCTTTGGCGTTCAACGATGAAGAATTTGAAGAGCACATGTGTGTGAAACCGAAAGGATCTGCCCCCGAGTTTTATCAAGCTTATGTGAAGGAAGTTCAGGAAATCATAGAGCGTAATGCACGATTAGAGTTTGAAGCGCTTTGGGAAGAACATAAAAAGACACAGGCGCCCATATCCGTCCTTTCGGATGAACTTTCGACAGCCATCTTGCAACTCAATGAACAACTGCAAGTCACATCGTTATGGAGCAACCATGATCTGCGTCACTCAGTCCTTTCAAAGGCATTCCCTAAGCTTTTACTAGATAAACTGGGCATGAAGACGCTACTGGAAAGAATACCAGAAAACTACGTAAAAGCTATCTTTGGGGCAGCCCTTGCTTCGCAGTTTGTTTATAAACATGGTCCTCGTCCAGATAAATTCGCATTTTATGATTTTATGCAAGAAAACTATATCTAAACTAGTATCAATAAAATAGACATTGCTTGCAAAAAATAACCAATGGTATCCCAGTAATATGTCAGTGTGGCACCTTTGTTAAAATGTGGCACTCGACAAGTATTAAAATGCGGCACTTTTTTATTTTTATTTTTTGACATTTTCAAAACTTGAAATGAGTCGACCACTGTTTGGAGGTGCGATCGTATGCCCAATTAGACCATCCTTTTTGGATGCAAGGTATTTAATACTTTAGAACTCGTCTCTCAAATTAATGAGTCATAGTTCTATTCGACAAGTACCTGATAACCAAGAAGTATTTGTGGATACAGAGACACAACAAAGCTTTATTGTTGAGTTATTAGAACCAGCAGACGCTCGAGATCAGGAAATTGCAAAGTAAAATCTATACCACTGAATCTTCCTTCATCAATTGTAACATGTGTCTTTTTAGATTTCACTTTCAACAATTATGCGAAGACAATGAAGCAGCCGATTCGGTCATTGTGTCTGTTGAACACTGTAAACCAGAGGAGATAACACCGCTTTTACCGTAAGTAACATAAACGGGGGTATATGTATGAAACTCATTGAATACAAAAAGAAAGGATACGACGGAAGTCTATCTCTTGCACGGCAAACAGATGGTTGCAAAGTTTAATGAAAAGGATGCATTAAATACGATAGATATATTGCTCGCCGTGGTTCGATTCAATCAAGTCTCGACTGATTGTGTGATTTCGATGAACGTCCCAGTCCAAGTTGCTGCAAACAGTAGTGAGGCTGAATCATTTACTCAAGCCAATGTGGATTTGGTAAAGCAAGACATGATGACCATTCTGCAAGGTTTACAGGTGAAGGATTGGAGTTTATTTGGATAGTTATTACTCGCATTAAAACAGACAATAAAAATGTAAACTTTTGACCAGAAAAAAGAACCCAAGTGAGACTTTCTTTTTTCTTCACTAATGGAATAATAACCCTCTTTAACCTCTTTATCGTCAAAGAGGGTTTAATACAAATAGGCTCTCAAAGTATCAATTTTCCTAATTGCCGTACCAGAGCTACATTTTTTCCATAGAGTATTAGTGATTCTTCTTTTAGCGTTTGATTTTGTTGGTATAATACTTCAAGCTGATCTCTTAGCTCTGCTTTATTCATCTGCTGCTGTAGCTCTAGATGCTCTATTCTCTTTGTATGCTCTTCCTGAGCTTGCTTCAACCTTAAATTTAGCTCAGCCGCATGTCTTTTAATTACTGTGTCCAGTTCTTCTTGAAGTTCTACCATTTGACAGGACAAGTCTCTTACTTCACGATGTATGTGCAACACGTCTGTTTCGTACTTCTTTTGAAACTCTTTTAACTGCTTTTGCTTCCACTGTACTTGATCGTTTTCTAATATTTGCATAAACTCCCGATGAATGCATTGATTGTTCTTTTTATGTAACTCTTGTTTAAACATGTCCTGCAGTTGAACCAGCTGAACTTCAAGACCTGCCATTTCTTGCTGATACCGCTGCTCTAACTGATACACTCTTGCTCTCTGAACAACGGCATCTGTTTTAGCTGCCTTGAGCGCAGCCTGAAGGGCGCATATCTCCGTATCATCTGTTGCAGAACGTTCAGACACTTCGAGCACATCTATTTTTCTTTGAAGCCGCTGTTTTGTGATTTGCAACTCCTTTATCTCCTGCCTCATTGTTTTGTTCAGCTCGTCCTTTTTTTCATCTGCTAATTTAAGCTGCTGTCTTACACTGGTCAACGCCAAGGCCTGTCTTTTGCATTCTCTGTCCAAGTCTATCGCTTGTCTTTCAGCTTCATTAAGCAGCATACGTATGGCCTCAATTTCTTTATTATCGTCACTCTCTTGGCTTTTGTGGATAGCCTCGAGACTTGCCTTGAGCCGTGCTGCCTGATTCTTGTACCTCAGCCGCTGCTGTTTGATATCTTCCATCTCTTCCAGCATACGTTCCATTTCTTTTCTAACCATGTCTACCGTCAATTCAAATTCGTCTCTCTCCTCTCTACAAGCCAATAGAGCGTCCTCCAACTGCTTCACTTGAGCTTCGTACTGGTTCCGAAGCATCAGTGCCTTTCTTTGGCACGATATATGACATTCCTTTGTCTGCTTTTGTTGTTTTAATATAAACGACATGTCACGCTCGAGCATCCGATTCTTTGATAAACTTTTTTGAAGAGCTTCTAATAATCGCTGCACTCTATGCTGCTCCGTCATTTTCTTCTTGTGTTCTTTTAAAACCGTTTCAAAATGGTGTGTTTCCCAGAACTGAATATGCTGTAGCAATATCTGACAGAAATCTCGACAGGTCTGTTCTGTGGCATGATCGTTTATGGATGATTTTAGTCTGACCAAGAAGACTGGAGTCGTATCAATCTCGTCTTCTGGTGTCAAGTCCTCGTCAAAGAGCCGTGGCAATTCATTACCTGTCCATTCATCCCACAGACTATGTTGATGGGTCAATTTCTTTTCGTGTGACGATAGGAATTGGTCTATTTGTTGACAAAGTTGCACAACCACAGAATTTCCTTGCTTTTGTTTTAATATCGCCAATTGGCTTTCCAGCCCTATTTCTTTTTGTACGTGCTGCTGGATCTCATTTTCTAAAACATGTACTCTCTTCTCTAAGCCATCAATGACTTGATAAAGCGTTGACTTTGATGACGAGCAAGAAGAGAATCTGCGTATGTATGTGGGCGTGGTAAGTACTGTATCTGTTTCACTTATGGAATCATCCGTTATTAAATCAACTTCCATTTTAAAGAATGCTGTGTTTCTCTTGTGAGTGTGTATGTGTTTATTTAAATAAACGGTAAGAAAAAAAATAAGGAGAAAAAAAAGAGAGAGAGAATAGGAGAATCTTTTAGTATTTATCAATGTATGCATCTTGACCCTTAATTATAATCTACTGGCAAGGCGGTTGAAAGGAACGGCCAAGTGTCTTACAATATCGGTATACATCTAAAACGTAGTAGGATTAGCGCGCGCATTATATATTTAGTGTATAGCTTTACCTCTTCCTTCAATTGTTTATAAACAACACCAGCCTTTGCCTTGGGTGCCCATTTTAATGCCAATTCCTTTGCTTTCGGCAGCACTTCCTTTTCGGGACAAGTGACATCGACTAAACCATGATCCAGCGCTTCTTGAGCAGTAAAGCGGTGACCTTGCAAAATCATCTTGCGGAAAGTGGCCGGTGTTGATTTGTCACGACACAAGGCAGCCATACCAGGAGCAAGAGCGGATGGAAGATCTACCTCGTTCATGCAGATAAATCCTTTATCAGATCTCATCACTCTATAATCTAATAAAAAAAGCAGTGAGAAACGGTACTCGACAATAAAAAAAAATCCTATTACCGTGAGCCAAAGCAAGCATACATCCACCAGCAAACGCGTGCCCGTTGATGGCGGCGACAGTAGGTATACAAAAGGTCAGCATCCTTCGAAGCATGAGCAAAAAGGTATCGATAAATAAAGGATTGGCCAAAGCATGTGCCAAATCCAATCCATTGCTATAAATTCTGTCTTGACCCACCGTGACCAAGGCCATGTCGACTGGATCTTCTGCTTCAAAAAAGATGCCTTCGATAATGGTCAGTGCCTTGATGATACTTTGGCAGAACTCGGTTGTGAAGCGATTGTCCTTGTTGTGTAAGTACAGGATGAACAAGGGACCCTCTTGATCGAGTGTCATGTGATGGACTTCTTTGCTGGGTAATGCGACAGGGAATTGAACCATTGGATAAAGTAGTGTTGAAGAAGAAAAAAAAATTATTAAAAGTTGGATGTATTTATACTCACGCGGGTTTTGTGCTGACAAAATGCCGTTTCAAAAATGGTAATTTGTGTGACAGGAAACCATCGCCCTCCCATATTGTTTACGACCAGATGTAAAAAAAAGGGCAGTTGTATTAAACAAAAGTATGAAGTGCCCTATTTTTTTGGGATGCATAGAAGATAGAATAACCCCGACGATTCGTTCTCACGTTATAAGCAGGAAAAAAAAAAAGTGACAATTTACCCATGTGAAAATGAAGTATACTACTTTAAACACAAACCTCAGGTCGAACAAGACAACGTTATATTCTAATCATGGCCATAGAATCATCCCTTTATTAGCTTGGAAGTTATCCGTGTTCCAATTTGTTCTTAGAACAAAAACAATTGACAGCTCTCTCTCCATATTATATCTATAGAACTTCCAGGGATTCAAGTTTTATCTATTAAAATCAACTGTAAGCCGAACAATACAGTTTAGTAAAAGGTCTCTTTTAACTAAACCAAATCCTTTTTCTTCTAGTATTACGAATTTTCTCTGTAAAAGAGAATCTATATTGAATACACATGGCTCTATAGAAGTATCTGTAGCACATGATCCATGGTCCGTAGTTTATTGATAAAGAAAGGTAGAATGCTTGATTTCTATAATAAGTCTTCTATATTTGGATAATATATATTGATGTATGCTACCATAAGTAAAGAAATAAAGAGAGAGTAAGTATTTAGTAATTTAGGCCTTGTAGATTGCCATGGCGACATCCTATCCATGGCTACGGGAGGGAAATCTTTTATCTTGACCAACCATTGTTGGTTATTTCTATTTTAAGCCAGTATACATTAAATTTAGTATATATATAACACTATACATGCTCGTGTAGGTCTAATGTTGAGCATATTCATTTGAAATATAGCGCTTGAGGGCACATACATCAATCATCTATGCTATAAATGTGTGTGCATGTGTTTGCCTAACCAGGCTTAGAAAATATGTAAGCCTCAGTCCTTAAAGAACAAATCATACGCAGCATAATGCGAGTATCTGCTGAAATTCGGCATTGTTACTGCCATTAAACATTTAATAGGAAATCCCCAATCTTTACAATTTAAAATAATTATTGTGTATGAATCGGCTACTTTGTTGTAAACATTATTGTGTATCGGCTATTGTAAATATAACCAAAGACAGTTCACTAAAGTATGGGGTTACACTTGACAATAGCTACGTAGTATTACTCACTTTGTACTTTACGTAAACATATGCTATTTCCAAAAAAGCGATGTTACGAACCTTGAGGAGAAGTGTTTACAAAGTGGGAGCAGAGTTTAATACTATTTGTCTAATGGACCAATGAAGGGGAATTCTCTGCGTCTTTTTTCGTGTCTCGTTACTCAGTTCAAAGACTCAACCACATCAAATACTTGGAGTGCACTCGAAAGCCGCAAAATTTGCTGTGTCTCCAGAAGCAGACTACCTTTTTATAAACTACTCAGCAATTAGGTAAAAGCTTCAATATGTGTTTCTATATAGCTCATTGAGAGGGGGATAAAAGCCTCTCAAGGGTTAGATTATTTGCATTCAGATTCAAAAGGGCGATGTGACAATACTATGTATTCTATGAACCTTTTTTAATCCGGGTTGTCGGATAGCTTGAATCATCAAATGTCCAAAAATGGTAATTTTATCTTTTTTCGAAATGAATGCGGGAAAAAAAAGTTTAAAAGCGTCATTTTTAGGTACACGCTTGTTTCTTCTTTTATTAAGTATGTGTATATCTGCAGCTACTATTGATTATAGCACTCAAGCTAACATTGGCCAAGTCAAGACCACCCACGTTCATTTGGATTGGCATGTTGATTTCAATCGTAAAGTCATCTTTGGTCATGCCACATTAGACCTTTATACTCTAGTCGATCATGTCGACAAGGTTATTTTAGATACAAGTTATTTGGATATCAAGTCTGTAGTCGTAAATAGTGAGAATGCAAAGGTAAATCTTGGGAGTCTGAAGCAGCAGCAGCAGTACTCTGACACACATATTTGTAGTTTAATGTCGCTGAAAGATACGCCAGTTTGGGTTCCGCGTTGACTATTTATTTGCCCCAGACTATTGAGAAATCGGGTACAAAGATCTGTATCCAAGTCGATTACTCTACAACCGAGAAATGTACAGCAATTCAATTCTTGGAACCTGAGTAAGCGTTTATCTATAAAGGAGATAAACGAGTTCTAAAAGCAAATGTTTGTAATAGACAAACTCTTGGCAAGACACATCCCTACTTGTTTTCTCAGAGTGAACCTGTAAGACAGTAATTGAATGGTTATATAGATAATTAACCCTGTATATTATAAAAGATTCATGGTCGCGCCATGATTCCTTGTCAAGATTCGCCCTCCGTCAAGGTCACTTATTCAGCAAAAGTGACATCCCCACTTCCTGTCGTAATGTCTGCCCTTCAAGAAGGTACTGAAGAAATTTCTAATGATTTGAAAGCATATCTCTTTAAACAACCTACCTCAATTCCTTCTTATTTGATTGCTATCGCTGTCGGCAACCTTGTTGGTCGCGAAATTGGTCCTCGCAGTACAGTCTGGTGTGAACCGGAAATGGTCGAGCAAGCTGCTTGGGAGTTTTCTGTAAGAGAAAGGGAAATGAACAATGACGCTGTGTATGCTCATTTTTAATTTAGGACACTGAAACCTTTATTGCCACAGGTGAATCCTTGTTGACTCCCTACGAATGGGGCCGCTATGATTTACTCGTCTTGCCTCCCTCTTTCCCTTATGGCGGTATGGAGGTAAGTTCAGTCACGTTTTTGCGTTCTATGTAACTTATATAACCCTAGAATCCCTGCCTTACTTTTGTCACACCTACCTTGTTGGCCGGTGATAAAAGTGCTGTTGCTGTGATTGCTCATGAGATTGCACATAGTTGGATGGGCAATTTGGTTACAACTAATTCATGGGTAATATTGAATATACAAGGCTTAAAGAGAGATACTAATTCGTCACTAGAAACACTATTGGTTGAACGAAGGATGGACTGTTTTCATTGAACGTAAAATCTTGGGTCGCCTTCATGGAGAAGCTACTAGACAGTTTGAGGCATTGAGTGGTAAGAATAGGAGATATGGAGAGTTTCCTCATAACTTATCTTTTCTTTTCCAATAAGGTCTTAAATCATTACAGGAAAGTGTAGACTTGTTTGGTAGCGATTCTCCTAAAACTGTCTTGAACCCTGATCTTCGCGGTGGTGCTGATCCTGATGATTTCTTCTCCAAGGTTCCTTATGGCAAGTATTTATTATCTTCTTGATCAAGGCATACTCACTGCTTTTTTTTGGCTTGTAGAAAAAGGGTTTAACTTTTTGTATCATATTGAAAAGGTTGTTGGTGGTCCTTCTGTCTTTGAACCTTACATGAAAGCTTATGTCGAGAACTTTGCATCTACTTCCATCTCCACTGAAGATTGGAAAGACTTCTTGTACCGCTACATGGAAAAGGTTCACGGTCCCTCGATGGTCGAGAAACTGAACACGATTGATTTTGATGCCTGGATCAATAAGCCTGGTATGCCACCTGTCGACAATCAATTTGACACGGCACTCGCTGATGCCTGTCTTAACCTTGCTGACCGCTGGAACAAAGCTCGTGATCTTGAAAATCTGGACCAATTCTCTCCCAAGGATGTGGAACATTTTTCTGCTGGTCAAAAGATCGTATTCTTGGAACGCTTAACTGACTGTGAACCACTGCCCTGTGCTTTGATCAGCAAAATGGACGAACTCTACCAGTTCACCCCTAATCATAACGCTGATTTACGTCTTCGCTGGCAGCAGGTCTGTCTAATGGCAAATTATGAACCCATTTACCCTGAGGTCGTTCAGTTCATTACAGAGCAAGGTCGAATGAAGTTTGTTCGTCCTCTGTACAGACTCTTACATCAAGCCAAAAATGGAGCACAGTTGGCGATTGACACTTATTTGAAACACAAGACATTCTACCATCCCATTGCTGCTCAATTAATCGAAAAAGATATTGGTTTAGTGAAGGCCTAACCTATCCACATGTATACATACACACAAACACGCACAAAAACTAAAATGAATAAAAAAAAAGCTGCAGAGATCATGTATATCTTCCACTAAATTTTTGTGTAATAAAAAGGTGAAGTAACAGAAAGCAAGGTTTATTTGTTGTTTCTTTGATTCGTTTAATCGAAGAGACCGAAACCCATATCCTATATTCGCGTACACAAAGTTAAACAAAAAGATATGTCAAAAAGGTTTACAACTTACATCATCGGATTCTTCCTTTTCTTCTTCCTTTTCTTCAGCAGGAGCAGCATCGGCAGCACCACCAGCAGCAGCGCCGGAAGAGGCAGCAACAGCACCACCAGTAGGAACAGAGGCCATCTTTTCCTTACCTTCAGCAATGAGCTATAATGTGTTTTAGGGTAAAGTTCAAAAAATACGTGGCACGTTGTTTTTTACCTCTTCAACATTCTTACCCTCGAGGGAAGAGATCAAGGTGTTCAAACGTTCTTCTTCGGCTTCAATACCAACGGCAGCCAAGATGTTCTTGACATCAGCAGCAGTAGGGGCGGTCTTACCACCAGCAGTGAGGAGAAGGTAGGCAGCGAGGTACTTCATTTTATAAATGGAGAGTGAGAGAGAGAAGGAACAAATATGGTCTGCTCTTGTGGGCAAAGAAATAGGAAAAAATTTTTTGTGACTCTTTTTATTTAGCCCCTCCTTTCACCTCTCTCAAAAAATAAAGCGCTATTTTTCTGAAGAAAAAGCTGATATAATATAAACAGTGAGGACTGGTTGCTTTTTAAAGGCATTAAATAGATGACGAGTTTATTTATATTAAAATCTATATACAAAGGCTTCTTCCATGTACAAATGTTTATATTCGATGATATTATTGACACCTAAGACCCATGAGCGAGAGTTTACAATATCTGCTTATATAGTCACTGCTTTTCTAGACCTTGCTAGGCAAAAAAAGGAGCAGTAATCCGGATCAACCCTATTCAGTGCTTAGACCAACTCGTTCAGTGGAAAGCACATTATCGGCCAAGGCAGAGACAATGAGATCATCCCAGTATTCCCTAGGTAAATGCTTGTAAATCAATGACTCTAGTGAGGCTTTATTGCTTAACATGCGTTGTCTACGACAGATCTTTTTAGTTATTTTGAGCCAAACGTACATCTTACGTATACCTTCTCATTAACAAAATCATATCTTCAGCAGTTATTTCATCTGGACCCTCTGGAGAATTCTGTTTATACACTTGCAAATCGTCAACCAATTGGTCACAAAACAGATCAGTACTATAGAAAGCGTTAGACCTATGTGTTTTTTCTAAGTATGTGCGTGTGCGCTATGTTTACATCATTGCAAATGTGCTGACGTTGCATGGCACTCTCTTATTGTTCGCAATCTTGTTTGTAAAAATCTTCTTGACATGCTGTCTTCTAATAGCGTCGTCTTTTGCTGGAATATTAATACTGTAGAGAAAATAAGTATAAAGCGAATTATACATGTGATATCACACAAACCTTGCAGTATCAAATATCTTTCTTCGTGCAAAAGAATGTTCAGGATTGATTCTTGTAGTAGTACGCCGGCGTACAGTTGATACACTTAATCCATCTAATGGTTCTGCTTCCATAGCCTTAATATCTTCTGTTTCAAAAATCTCATCTTGTATTCCTGCATAACCAAAATCCATATCATCCATGAAATCATCTTGAAATGCACTTGTTTCTATAGCTTCTGCTGTCGTTGCTTTGTCCATCTCTCCTTCTCTCATTGGTTCTTTCTGAATCTTTTGCTCGACTTGATCATATGGTTCTGGTTCGATCTCTTCCTGGTTTAATTTCGGAGATAGTGCAGGAAACTCTTCTATGAATCTTTCAGGACTACTCTTACGACTTATTTTGTCAAAAAAGGGACTCATGATTTCCTCTTCTCTTGGTAGTAAGGTTTGTGTTGCTACACTCATTGTGTCATCTTGCCATAATCGATCGAATGCTGAGTAGTTTGTGTTTGTGCGAATGGTCATCTCGCTTAGCACACTAGCTGTATCATCCAAGTGTCTGTTTCTCTTTTTTCTAAAGTCAATTCCAAGTGGTTTTCCAATCTCTTGTTGTTGTAAAGAAGATGCATTTTGATTTAATTCTGCAATCCTCTTTCTGTATCGCTCAACAAAGTCATCTTTTCTTTCAATCAACTCATGACTCCTTTTTGTGCTCAGAGGAGGAAAAGAAGTGTGTTCGATCAAGTTATTATCCTCGTTATCATCAACATCTTCTTCTGGAATAGGAATATATTGATCCCGTGGCACTATATAAAAAGATCAGATTCTGTTGTTGTTGATGAGTATGTTTTTTTTACCTCTGCTTAGCATTCGCAGAATTTCACTTGGACTTCTATCAGCAAGCCATTGTCTATGATTCTCATATGCTCTCTATTGAATACACATGAGTCTTTATAAATAAATGTTCATAGGGCAGCATTACATTGTTCATTTGGTAATCAATAAAACAGTAAAAATATATGAAATTATGCAAAAAAAAAGTCAATATTCAGCAACAGACCTTATTTTCATTTATAAATACATCATGAAGCATTTTTTATTTCATTCAGTCTTTGTTGAACGAAAAGTCTATATAAAGAAATTCTAGTTTATAATTCACGCTGAGCGCGTTCGTATTGGTTGATCCAAGTAGTCTTCACACCAAGCTCACGAGCAGCTCGATTTACCCAAGCTGTGTCACGAAG